ATAAAGAAAACGAATTGCAATGAAAACCATGTCAATTTCTTAAGTAGCCACTAAACTGATTTTCTTCCACAGCATTACACTACTAAAACTGTAATGCCAATACAATTTAGCCATATATCAATGCAGTCCTTTTCATAACTCTAGCTCAGAAGATATTTCTTTTGGCACAACCTAATTATTATGCTGCTATTGAATATACAACCTGACTTGATGATCTAAGAACCCGGTTCGCATCTGAATCACCACTATGATTTCCAAAGTTCAGACGATTACACTAAAAGGAGCACGAATTTAAAGTCTAATATAAAAAAACCAACCAAAACAGACCAATATCATTATACAATAATACCACAATTCAGCTAAAATTTCAACAAAATATACAAAAGGGCATACCCCACTAGCAATGATTACGCCGGTGACAACAGGAATTAGAGTGATATAAGTCAACCAAGCCTCCCTTTTCAGTGTCATCAAATAAGCAAAGATAGCAGTAAAAAAAGGTGTAGTAGCACCAATAGCTTGATTAAATGATACAGGCAAATACCTAAGTGAAATATTTCCACTAACAACAGAAGTACAAAAAACAAGACTCAAAGCTGAGATTTTCAGGAATTGAACTCTAGATCTTATAGTTTGCATTGGGACCATTTTCATCCAAGCAATTGCTATATAACTTAGTAAAGAACAAGCTGTCATATGACACATAGTTAAAAAGATTGGATATTTAAACCCATAATTACTTAACAAATATTTGTTCAGTAATAAAACCCCAATATTTGATGAATACCAAGCTGTAACTAGCCCAATTGTAAAGAATTGACCTGAATTTTTCATTGTTGACATTAAAAAACTGATCTTTTTTGACACCCAAAAATCAAGAATTTACCTTAAATAAAACCCCACAAAGAAAAATTCTCTAGAATTAAGTATAACACAAAAAAATCAAGAATTAAGGCCTAAATTCATCACTGCTGAGACTTAAAAAATGATCTTTTTGGTACCCAAAAACCCAAAAGTTCACAAAAGAAGAAGTGATTTTAAAACCACGTTTAGCATTACTTGGATCTGATTCAGTCTCATTAGCAAGAATCTGAGGAAACAAAAAAAAAAAACAAGTAGAGATATTGTGAAGAAAAAAGCAGCAGATATGTTGACAAGTTTACTTGTTACTGAAGAGATAAAGCTAAAATGGGAAAGTTCAAGCAAATATAGAAAGATAAATGGGGTGGGGTGGGGTGGGAGATGGGGACCGGGG